TACCAAAACTAAAAAAAATTTAGCTAGGCAGGATGACACACACCTATAGTTCCAGCTTCTCGGGAGGCTGAGGTGGGAAGATTGCTTGAGCCCAGAAGGTTAAGGCTGCAGTGAGCTGTGATCATGTCATTGCACTCTAGCCTGGGTGACATAGCAAGACCATGTCTCTTAAAAAACCAAAGCCAAGCCGGGCGCGGTGGCTCAAGCCTGTAATCCCAGCACTTTGGGAGGCTGAGACGGGCGGATCACAAGGTCAGGAGATCGAGACCATCCTGGCTAACACGGTGAAACCCCGTCTCTACTAAAAAATACAAAAAAACTAGCCGGGCGAGGTGGCGGGCGCCTGTGGTCCCAGCTACTCCGGAGGCTGAGGCAGGAGAATGGCGTAAACCCGGGAGGCGGAGCTTGCAGTGAGCTGAGATCCGGCCACTGCACTCCAGCCTGGGCGACAGAGCCAGACTCAGTCTCAAAAAAAAAAAAAAAAAAAAAAAAAAAAAAACCAAAGCCAAAACAAAGGCCAGGCGCAGTGGCTCACGCCTATAATCCCAGCACTTTGGGAGGCATAGGCAGGAGGATCCCTTGAGGCCAGGAGTTTAAGACTAGCCTGAGCAACATGACCAGACCCCATGTCTATGAAAAAATTTAAAAAAAATTATCAAAGCATGGTGGTGCACACCTGTAGTCCCAGCTACTCTAGAAGCTGAGACAGGAGGATCAATTGAGCTCAGAAGGTCAAGGTTGCAGTGAGCTATCATCACACCACTGTACTTCAGCCTGGGTGATAAAGTAAGACCCTGTCTCTAAAAACAAACAGCAACAACAGCAGCAACAGCAACAACATCCTACAGCTGGCATCACAGTTAAGGGTGAGAGACTGGATACTTTGGCTGTAAAGTTGGGAAGAAGGCAAAAATGTCCCTTTTCCATTCCTATCCAATATCTTACTGGAAGTCCTATATAATGCATTAGGACAGGAAAAGGAAATAGGAAGTATATAGACTGGGACAGAAGAAATCAAACTATTTGTTCACAGATGAAATGACTGATTCTGTAGAAAATTCCTTAAAAAATGAATAGAACAACTAGACAAATCAGCAGGGCATAGAAGAACTCAATAACACCATCAGCTAAAAGGGCTGAATTGACGCTCCACCCAACAACAGAGCCTTTCAAGTGTTTGTGGAATATATGCTAAGAGAGACCATATTCTGGAGTATTTAAACAAAATCTTTTTTTTTTTTTTTTTGAGATGGAGTCTGGCTCTGTCACCCAGTTGGAGTGCAGTGGCCGGATCTCAGCTCACTGCAAGCTCCGCCTCCCAGGTTTACGCCATTCTCCTGCCTCAGCCTCCCCAGTAGCTGGGACTACAGGCGCCCGCCACCTCGCCCGGCTACATTTTTGTATTTTTTTTTTTTAGTAGAGACGGGGTTTCTCTGTTAGCCAGGATGGTCTCGCTCTCCTGACCTAGTGATCCGCCCGTCTCCGTCTCCCAAAGTGCTGGGATTACAGGCTTGAGCCACCGCGCCCGGCCAAAACAGAATCTTAACTCATTTAAGAGAATTGAATCATAGCTTGTTCTCTGACTATAATAGACTCAAACTAGAAATCAATAACACAATAACAGAAAAATCTCCAAACACTTGAAAATTAAGCCATATACTTCTAGATACTCCATTAGAGAGGAAGTCACAAGAGAAATTTAAAAAATACATTGAACCAAATAAAAATGAAATACAACATACCAAAAAAGAGCAGTGCCCAGCGGGAAAGTTACAGCACTAAAATGCATCCATTAGAAAAGTGGGAAGATCTTAATAATCTAAGCTCCATCTCAAGAACCTAGAAGAGTAAAATAAAACCAAAACAAGCAGAAAGAAGAAAATAATAAAGAGCAGAAATTGATGAAGCTGAAACAGAATAGAGGCCAGGCATGGTGGCTTATGCCTGTAATCCCAGCAGTTTGGGAGGCTGAGGTGGGTGGGTCACCCAAGGTCAGGAGTTCAAGGTGGGCCCGGGCAACATGGTGAAACCCCATCTCTACTAAAAATGCAAAAATTAGTTGGGCACAGTGGTGTGCGCCTGTAATCCCAGCTACTCGGGAGGCTGAGGCAGGAGAATCATTTGAACCCAGGAGGCGGAGGTTGCAGTGAACCGAGATCACGTCACTGCACTCCAGCCTGAGCGACAGAATGAGGCTTCATCTCAAAAAAAAAAAAGAAAAGAAAATTAAACAGAGAACTAGTTATTTTAAGAGATCGATAAAGTGGATAAACCTCCAGCAAGATTAACAAAGAGAAACAAAGAGAAAATGAATAAATTTCTCCTATCAGGAATGAAATACAGGGTGGCACTACAGAGCCTGAAAACAACAAACGAATATAAGGAAATACTATAAACAACTCTATTCAAATAAATTTGACTTCTTAGACTAAATGAACCAATTCCTTTAAAAAACACAGCTACCATAGCTCACCCAATATTAAATAGATACTTTCTAGCCTGGGCAACATAGCTAGACCCCATCTCTACCAAAAAAAACAAAAATTAGCTAGTTGTGGTGGCATGTGCCTATAGTCCCAGCTACTGGGTAGGCTGAGGCGGAAGAATCACCTGCTGACAGAGCGAGACCCCATCTCTTAAAGAAAAAGATACTTTGAGTAGCACTATGACTATTAGGAAATTGAATTTGCAATAAAAATTCTCCAAAAGAGAGCTCCAAAGAAGGTTTCACTGGAGAAGGTTTCAGCAGAGAATTCTACCAACTAAAGAACAAACACCAATCTGCATAAGCTCTTCCAGATAATAGGCCAGAAGGGGACACTTTCCAGTTCTTTATGAAGCTAGTACTGGGGGAGGAAAAGCTTTCTCTTTGTTATATTTTGTTCAGTTTATGGGGGCCTCCAAAAAAACTATTTATTTGAGGCAGAGTCTCACTCTGTCACCCAGGCTTGAGTGCAGTGGCAGAATCATGGCTCACTGCAGCTGCGGCTTCCTGAGCTCAAGTGATCCTCCCACCTCAGCCTCTGAAGTAGCTCGAACCACAGGCATGCGCTACCATGTTCAGCCAATTTTCAAAAAATTTTTGTAGAGATAGCGGTCTCACTATGTTGCCCAGGCTGGTCTCGAACTCTTGGGCTCAAGTGATCCTCCTCCTTAGCCTCTCAAAGTGGTGGGATTACAGGTGTGAGCCACCATGCCCAGCCAGGGCCTGCAAATTAAACTGACAAAAGACAGATTAACAGAACAGAAAATCAGCATGGGCATATAAGAACTCAACACCACCATCAACTAATAGGGTCTAATTAAACTTTTTATAGAACACTCTCAAAAAAGGATTATTTGCATGGATGCTGGAGCTAGCAAAATAAGTAGCTAGCCTACTAAATGGTTAAAATTAGAGGTTTATATCTGGGTGCAGTGGTTGATACCTGTAATCCCAGCAGTTTGAAAGGCTGAGGTGGGATTGCCTGAGCCCAGGAGTTCAAGACCAGACTGGGCAACAGAGTGAGACCGTCTCTACCAAAAAACAAAACAAACAGCGACAAACAAAAAATCCACACAAAAAACAAAGAAAGACAAAAACCAATTAGTGGCTTATGTGCCTAACTCAGCAGGTAAAAGGGAGAGGTGACAAAAGTTTGTATGAAAACAAATAGGATTCTTTAAGACAGACAAATGGGTTTTGGGAGAACAAACAGGAGCTAAGAAAGGGTTTTTTTTTTTTTTTTTTTTTTTAGACGGAGTCTCTCTGTTGCCCAGGCTATAGATCAGTGGTGTGACCTTGGCTAACTGCAACCTCTGCCTCCCGGGTTCAAACGATTCTCCTGCCTCAGCCTCCCGAGTTGCTGGGATTACAGGCGCACACCACCACGCCAGGCTAATTTTTGTATTTTTAGTAGAGACGGGGTTTCACCATATTGATCAGGCTGGTCTCGAACTCCTGACCTCGTGATCTGCCAGCCTCGGCCTCCCAAAGTGCTGAGATTACGTGTGAGCCACCGCGCCCAGCGGATAATTTTTTAAAAATGTAGGTGCTAGTGGTCTTACTGTCTTCTTCATGGACATGAAATTCTTCTCATATAATGAGAATTAAATATGATCCTTCATATAAAGAGTTTAGAATAACGTCAGGCACAAAGCAAGCAGTAAGTTATAATTTAGATAAGAATCATTCCAGTTCATCTGGAGAGTGCAACACACACACACTGTATTTGTGTATGGAATAACTGTTCAAGAACACATACACACAGTATTTGTGTATGAAATAACTCTTCAAAAACAAAGGGGAAACAGTTATAGGGCATGGAAGGGGAATTAGGGCAAGGTGTGAGTGGAAAGAGAAACATCCCACCGCCCACGCTTAAAAAATCCGTTTAATTTAAAAATAGGTAATACAGCCATACAGAGAAGACATTAAAATAAAAGATTTACACAGAAAATTTTCCTTCCCAATCCATTCCCTACTCACAGTCCTACATACGTTACTTTTATTTTCCTTTTTTTGGAAATGTAAATGCACGGCCCCCTACTTCCTCACGAAGGCTGCACTCTCTCTACGTTCTTCTGCACCTGTGTTTTTGTGCATACTCTTTCGTTGTGAAATATTTCCCCCCAACTGCTGTAGTGTATGAAATAAATACACACACGTAACCTAAACAACCCCGCTCTCCCGCACCACCTACAAGCCCGTCCCCGCCCTCCCTGAGGCCCACGTGCTCCGAGGGCCCCCTTCGCAGGTTGTTTCTGGCGATGCCTGTCTGAAGGCCTCAGACTGAGGCCCCGCCCACTCTCCTCCTCCTCTGCCCTTTGGACGCGCGCCTCGCGGACGGCGCCTCAGGCAGCGCGGCGGACAGCCCGTCCTCCGGCGCGCCGCGGGCCTCGGAGGACCCCAGCGACGGTCGTGGCGTAAGACCGGGGGGACGCGGCGATAGCGGCGGCCGTTGCGATTGATTGCGCTGGTTGCCTCCGGCGTCCACTTCCCTGGCCGCCCTTGCTACACTGGCTGATTGTTGTGCAGCCGGCGCCATGTCTGTGAGCGAGATCTTCGTGGAGCTGCAGGGCTTTTTGGCTGCCGAGCAGGACATCCGAGAGGCGAGCCCCCTCCCTTCCCCATTCCCTTTGCCTTTCCATGCCTAGGTGGGCCACTGCGCCCGACCCTTCTCTGTCGCTCAGTCTCGGGCGGTGGGGACGCCTCCGAGGGTGGGTTGCTTCCCCTCTAGCTTTAGGTTAGGACACTCCCCGCCCCCGCCCCAAATTTTGCCGCTCTGTCCTGATTCCCTGTGTTCGGGTCTCAGCTTCTAAGCATTACCTGCCTAATTTGTGTCAGTTTTCCTTCTTTTCAGCGCTTGTTTATATCGAAGGCTCGATTAGCACCTGGTCTTCGGCGAATGAGCGTTTCGTGTATTTTTGTTGGTGTCTTAAAAGCACATGTGATCTCCTGCTTAAAACTGTCCTATGGTTTCCTGTCCCACACAGGATAAAAAATCAGACCCTCCTGTGGCTCACACGGTCTCTCGTCAATCTCATTTATGCTCTCTGTCTTTGTGTATGATGTTCACTTTACCTCTTCTAGTGCGCCAGATAGCTTCCTGCCTGTTCGCTTTTCCTGGAATTTGCTTCTTTCCCGTTCTTTTCGTGATTGTCTCGTATTTATGTCATTGACGTCACAGCCTAAACGATCTATTTCCTGTTATGTTTTCTAGTAGCACCTTAAGTTTTTTAAATGTGTGTAATGTTGATTATTTAAAAAAAATCTTCTCCCCCATTGTATGTTAAACCATCAGAGGGAAAGGATTGTGTGCTCGGTTCCCCAGTATTTACACAGTGCCTCACACATAAGTATGCTCAGTGAATATTTTAAAAATGAATTAGAGGCCGAGAGCGGCGCCTCATGCCTGTAATTCCAGCATTTTGGGAGGCCGAGGCGGGTGGATCACTTGAGGCAAGGAGTTTGAAACCAGCCTGGCCAACATGGCGAAACCCTGTCTCTGCTAAAAATACAAAAGAAAATTAACTGGGCATGGTTGCGAACGCCTGTAATCCCAGCTACTTGGGAGGCTGAAGCAGGAGAATTGGTTGAACCCAGGAGACGGAGGTTGCGGTGAGCTGAGATCGCGCCGTTGCACTCCAGCCTGGGTGACAGAATGAGACTCCGTCTCAAAAAAAAAAGAAAAAAGAAATGTAAATACCCAACTCTTGTATTGCATTTAACTCTTCATTCTGCAAGTTACGTTCACATACATCATCCATTATAATGTCCCAATTGAATCCTTGGGGTGAATGGGTGGCTATTATCCTTTAAAGAGTACCTGAGGAATCTAAGGCTTTTTAGTGACTTTTTGAAGTCTTACAGAGGAAATAAGTGGAAAAAAGTCAGGATTCAAACTTGGTTATGATCACATAAACTAATGTGTTTGGTGTGAGTGTATGACAATAATTCTGTTGAGTATCTGATTTTTATTTTTAATTCTCTCTAGGAAATCCGAAAAGTTGTACAGAGTTTAGAGCAAACAGCTCGAGAGATTTTAACTCTACTGCAAGGGGTCCATCAGGGTGCTGGGTTTCAGGACAGTAAGTTCTTTGTTTTATACTCAATTATCAGTCTCTTATTTAGAAGAGAGTTTCTATCCAGAAGACATTTTATAATGAAAAATGGCTATCATGCTTTATGGTGAGTAAAAATTGAAGAAGGAGGTGATTTGATAATTTTGGTTGATTTTTCTTGCACTACCAGATAGTATGGTTTAAATAGAGATGTTTTCTATTGTGATGGCATTCTACTGATGATAATTACAATTGCTTAACCCATTTCCTGTTTAGAAAAAAAAAGTGCAGCTTTCTGCTAGCACAGTATTCTCAGGATAAGTGGGAAAAGGGTTTATTAATATTTATTTACTTTTTCTCCCGAGACGGAGTTTCGCTCTTGTTGCCCAGGCTGGAGTGCAGTGGCGCCATCTCAGCTCACTGCAGTCTCCGCCTCCCAGGTTCAAGTGATTCTCCTGCCTCAGCCTCCTGAGTAGCTGGTATTACAGGCGCCCGCCATCACGCCCTGCTACTTTTTTTTTTTTTTTTTGTATTTTTGATAGGGATGGGGTTTCACTCTATTGACCAGGCTGGTCTTGCACTCCTGACCTCAGATGATCCTCCTGCCTCGGCCTCCCAAAGTGCTGGGATTACAGGTGTGAGCCACCGCGCCTGGCCCAAGCGTTTATAACTCTTGTGTTATCTAGTGACTTTTATTTGGCCCTTTTGTGTGTGTGTGTATATGTGTGTGTATGCACCAGTGTGTAGTTGAATCCAGTCTTTCAGTGATTGAATACCTTTTAATATGAGATGAACAGTATAAAATGTTCTCAAATTAATGTGTTTGTAGTCAGCCTCTTGAATGAAAGTAAAATATGTCAAGTTTAGACATGGAACCTTCATTGTAAGGTATAGCCAGCACAGCTAAAAGAGCTGAAGTATGTTTTCAGATATAAGAATGATATAATAATGTATTTATACGTGGTAGAGGCAAGTCATTTTTCTTAATGATACGGAGCTGGTCATCCTGATTGTGAATACTTGGTAAAGGCTTTTTTCTGCCAAATATGGGAGGAAGAAGCAATCCAATTTTATGCATCCTCTGAGGAGTGAACAGGAATAGCAGCTGGTGTGCAGCTCCTTAAGGATGACGTTATTTATGACAACCTAACCAATTACCAATGTGTCTCCTAATATATTCCCTTTTGGCAAGTTGTTTATTTTTCAGTATAGCTAATTAGTAGGGAAACTGGGGATGATACTTTTTGAGAACCAGGTTGAAAAGCAGAGATGTGTACATTAGTTGTGAGGTTAAAAAAAAAAGTTTATTAATTTCCAGGTAGATTACTTAGATTATTAAGCAAGAACTGTATTTGAAATTTGGTAAGTTTTTCATTATTACATTTGGTTATCTTTTGTGATTAGTTCCAAAGAGGTGTTTGAAAGCTCGAGAACATTTTGGTACAGTAAAAACACATCTAACATCTTTGAAGACCAAATTTCCTGCTGAACAGTATTACAGGTTTGTAAGAAAAACAGCATTATTTTATGATGTTAAGTAAAAAAAAGAGAAAAATTATACATACTAAATGATTGCTTGCAACTAGGCAAGCATCCTTCTGTGTAGAAGTAACAAAAAGAGAAAGAACTAAACTGATAATGGTCATGACAAAAATTGGTGATTTTATTTTTTTCTTCTTTTTACTTTCTGAATCTTAAGGAACATGTATTACTTTTGCAGTGAAAAAGCAATTAAAAAGAAAATGTGGTATGAGGGTCAAAAGTGAGAATATCTTTTTGCTGTATTCAAGTTTCTTGTGAAATTGGGTGAACTATAGTTAGTGAAATAATGAGATTAGGTGGCAGTATATATATGGAGTTGAGTTTTATTTTGAAGCTTGAGTTTCACTGCCAAGTAACATAATTAGCTAATATTTTATGCCATGTCTTCTTGTTAAAGTCAACACTGTTGATTTTAAGATACACCATTATTTTATGTACCAGTAGGGAAGGAAAATTTTGCTAGTCATAAATGTGAAACATGGGCCACGCGTGGTGGCTCACGCCTGTAATCCCATCACTTTGGGAGGCCAAGGCGGGCAGATCACCTGAGGTCAGGAGTTTGAGACAGCCTGGCCAGCATGGTAAAACCCTGTCTCTACTAAAAATAACAAAAATTAGCCCGGTATGGTGGCTCATGCCTGTAACTCCAGCTACTTTGGAGGCTGAGGCAGGAGAATCACTTGAACCTGGGAGGTGGAGATTGCAGTGAGCCGAGATTGCGCCATTGCACTCCAGTCTGGACGACAGAGTGAGACTCCATCTCAAAAAAAAAAAAATTGTGAAACATGGATTGTGAAATGTCTCCTGGTTTCATAGGTGTTAAACTGGGAAGAACTGCATCTGAATCAAGAATTTCTACTCATTTTAATTTTCTTACTGAAAAAGATGTTCTTGTAAGGCATATATATCAACAGTAAACAGGATGAATATTTTCAAGGGTGGATAGTATAACCTCATGAGAATATTCTTTTAAGGCGGAGATTGATAAACCACTAGTGGCTGTTGTCTCTGGGAGCTAAGAATTGCTTTTGTATTTTCAAGAGTTGTTTAAAAAAAAGGAAAATGCCCAGATAAGAATACATAACAGTGAAAGAGGCCCACAAAGCCTAAAATATTTACTACTTGGCCCTTTACAGAAAAAATCTGCTGATCCTTGCTGTAAGGCAGGGGTTCCCAACCCCCAGGCCGCGGACTGGTACTGGTCTGTGGCCTGTTGGGAACCGGGATGCACAGAAGGAGGTGAGCGGTGGGTGAGCGATTGAAGCTTCATCTGTATTTACAGCTGCTCCCCATCACTTGCAATACCGCCTGAGCTCCACCTCCTGTCAGACTGGTGGCAGCATTCGATTCTCACAGTAGTGCGAACCCTATTGTGGACTGTGCACACAGGAGATCTAGGTTGCATGCTCCTTATGAGACTGTAATGCCTGATGATCTGAAGTGCAACAGTTTCATCCTGAAACCATCTGCCCCGCTTCTGTGGAAAAATTGTCTTACATGAAACTGGTCCCTGGTGCTGAAAAGGTCAGGGACCGCTGTTGTCATAGCTGAAGCACAGAGAGAGGTAGGACAGTAGAACGGGTGGGGTATTTAGAGACCATCTTCTCTGGAGGTCACACACAGGCTGCCCTCTGGCTGGATTTGGTCTTCAGAAGGGTTTGTGTGACCTGCATTGTGTCGAGACCTTTTTTTGAATGTATTGCCACATTTGAAAATCAGGAGGCATTGTGTAAATATCCACAGGTTGTAAAATTTCCTTTTCTTTTTTCAGGCTTCTAGCTCAGTATTCTGTTTTAAGTCCATTTGTTTAGTGATTGCAAATGGGAATTTTGTGAATCAGAATTTTCTTGGTATCCTGCACTCAAATGAAAATGTAGGAATACGTTGAGGATGATATATAACTGCAGTTGTCTTCAATCATCAGTTGCAAAGTTTTATTTTTTTCAGAGCAGTATCATTGTTCTTACTGATGAATTTTAGAAAGCACAATTGCTCTTGTCATCTGTAACCTTCAGTTGTTGTTTTTTTTTTTTTTTTTTGAGATGGAGTCTCTGTCGCTTAGGTTGGAGTGTAGTGGTATGATCTTGCTCACTGCAAACTCTGCCTCCCAGGTTCAAGCGATTCTCCTGCCTCAGCCTCCCGAGTAGCTGGGACTATGGGCACACGCCACCACGCACGGCTAATTTTTGTATTTTTAGTAGAGACGGGGTTTTGCCATGTTGGCCAGGCTGGTCTTGAACTCCTGACCTCAGGTGATCGATCTGCCTCTGCTTCTCAAAGTGTTGGGATTACAGGCGTGAGCCATCGCACTGGGCGTAAATTTTCATACTCATCAGAATTAGACCATATTTCTCGCTGATTAAACTTAAATAATTGTTAAAATTTCAACTTGTAAAATTTATGCTAAATGTCATATTTCTCTTTACATATTGGGGATTTGCATAAGATTTTATTTGAAAAATGATCCCATTTCTAAACTGTTTGAACATGACTATATTAAACCCGTCTTTCTGAAGGTCCCTAACCTTGGAGGCTAAATTTGCTTATTTTCCTGCAGATTTCATGAGCACTGGAGGTTTGTGTTGCAGCGCTTGGTCTTCTTGGCAGCATTTGTTGTGTATTTGGAAACAGAAACACTAGTGACTCGAGAAGCGGTTACAGAAATTCTTGGCAGTAAGTGTCTTTATTAGTGGGATCTGCAGAATCAGGCATGGTTGCTTAGTTTTTGGTGGAAAGGGTGGTTGTACTTTGTTTCTTAAAACAAATAAGAATTAGCTAGAAACCACTTGTAGTTGTAGCTTGGTATCTGAGGATGATTGGTTCCAGAGCTCTCCCAATACCCAAATCTGAGGATGTTCAAGTCCCTTATATAGCTGGTGTAGTATTTGCATGTAACCTATACACATCCTCCCACGTACTTTAAATCATCTCTAGGTTTCTTAACATATCTAATACAGTGTAAGTGCTATGTAAATATATATATATATATATGTTTTGAGATAGAATCTCACTGTCGCCAAGGCTGGAGTGCGGTGGCATAATCTCAGCTCACTGCAACCTCCACCTCCCAGGTTCAAGCAGTTCTGCCTCAGCCTCCCGAGTAGCTGGGATTACAGGTGCCTGCCACTACGCCCAGCTAATTTTTTTTTTTCCCCAAAAATGAAGTTTTGCTTTTGTTGCCCAGCTATAGTGCAGTGGCACAATCTCGGCTCACCACAACCTCCACCTCCTGGGTTCAAGCAATTTTCCTACCTTAGCCTCCTGAGTAGCTGGAATTACAGGCATGTACCACCACACCTGGGTAATTTTGTATTTTTAGTAGAGATGGGGTTTCTCCGTGTTGGTCAGGCTGGTCTTGAACTTCTGACCTCAGGTGATCCACCCGCCTCAGCCTCCCAAAATGCTGGGATTACAGGTGTGAGCCACCACGCCCAGCCAATTTTTTGTATTTTTTTAGTAGAGATGGGGTTTCACTGTGTCGGCCAGGCTGGTCTTGAACTCCTGACCTTGTGATTCGCCTGCCTTGGCATCCCAAAGTGTTGGGATTACAGGCATGAGCCCTCCGCACCTGGCCTTTTCCCAAATATTTTTGATCCACAGTTAGTGCAGAGGGCCGACTATATTTGGAAAAACAAAAGCTAAAAATAACAACGGCAAACTTATTTGTACTTGCTTTAGTTTTTAAAATTGAATTTTTAAAACTTTCAAGCCTACAGAAAAATGGAAAGAATAGTAAAATGAATACCTGTTTACACGCCACTTAGATTTACCACTTGTTAACATTTTGCTACATCTGCTTAATCTTCTCATTTTGTGTGTGTCTCTGTCAGCCATTTGATAGTTGCAAATATCGTAACTCCTGTCTTAAATGCTTTATCATGCACTTTCTAACAAGAAGTATGTTCTCTGACACAACTCGATACCATTTTTGATAGTATTACTTTTTGAGGGAAGACTGATTGAATTTTGCTTAAGAACTCAAAAAATCCACAGTGAGGTTTAGTTGCCAAGGGTGTGAATATATTAAAAAGCCGGTTTTTAAAAGATTCATCCTTTCTTCACTTACTTTGGGAGAAATTATGTGTATATTTTTATATTCTGAGGCTTGACTTGGATTCACAGCATGACTTTATTTTCATGTGTTTTTAGTTGAGCCAGATCGGGAGAAAGGTTTTCATCTGGATGTAGAAGATTATCTCTCAGGAGTTCTAATTCTTGCCAGTGAACTGGTAAGCTCAGTAACTTGCTGGTTGCTTTTTTGATCTTTCTGCTTCACTGTCAGTTTTTAAAATGGGTACCAAAATTCAGAACGTCTTAATTCTTTTCTAAGCCATCTCTCAGTCACCAGGTTGTCACTGACTGGCACTGTAGGTGTTACAGTTTCCTAGGCATCAGAGAAAAGCCAGATCAAATGATGAGTGCATACTTACTGAGTTAAGAATTTTCAACAGATGATAAGACCTCTTCCTTTTAGGGTAGTGGCAAAACATCTATTCCTGGTAACTGTTAATTCATGTAATTGTTTTGGAGACTCATTTGTCTATATAACCATATAAGTTATTCTTTATTCCTTTAATCACTATTTGGGGAAATTGCCTGGTAAAAGTCTAAAGAAAAAAAAAACCGTCAGTAGCAAAATTGAGTAGTTGTGGTAGAGACTGTGCCAGTCTGCAGAGGTGAAAATATTTACTTCTGGCTCGTTAAGAAACAGTTTGCTTGTCCTTGTTCCAGAGGAAAGCAGTCCAGGGCTGGTCTGATGATTCCTTGATCTTTGGCCCTAGGTTCTTCTAGCTTCAGCTTCTTTCTTACGTTCCAGAACTGTTGCTCTAGTCACATCTTCACTCTAGCCAGCAGTAGGAGGAAATAGGAAAAAGGATATGCCCTCTCGCTTTGAGGACATTTCTTTCAAGTTGTCCACACAACTTCTATTAACATTCTGGTGCCTTGCCTGCAGGGGAGGCAGAAATGGAGTCTATTGGAGTGGGTATGTGTGCATTGAAAACCTGAGGAAGATGGTGAGAATGGATAATGGGGTCCACTTGCAGGCTGTACCACTTGTCTGGCTTTTTCGAGACACCTGACCAGTAAACATGAAGCATCTTGTTAGTATTAGTTGTTAAGTGGAAGGTGTCTTTAGGACCATACATGTTGGGGCCAGGTGCGGTGGCTTACACTTGTAATCCTGGCAGGTTTGGAGGCCCAGGTGGGAGGATCCCTTGAGGTCAGGAGTTCCACACCAGCCTAAGCAACAAAACAAGACCCCTTCTTGATTTATATTAAAAACAACAACAACAGCAACAACAACAAAACCTTTATGTGAGACAAAAAAAACCCGTATGTTGAGAATGCACTAAAGGGGTGGTGTAGGTAAACCTGGGAAAGTGGAGAGGATTTACAGAAAGGGGAATCTTTTTTATTATTTTAAGATGTTTTGAAAAGCCAGTCAAATGGAGCAGTGAGGGGTTGTATACTGACACCGAGAAGGGGAGCCTTGAGTTGGGTCTTGAAATCAATCTTAGTTCTCCTTCAAGATACGGTTACACTGACGTAATTACACTGACGTAATTTTAGATTCTTATCCCAAGTCTGCCTTACTTGATTCTAGGTGATTAGAGTTGCAGCTTAGTAGGTGGGCTCTAGAAATGTGATCATTTGGCCAAGGTTGGAAGAGATAGTGGAGCTGCTGTGATTACTTTGTGGTTTATTTCTTCGTTATGAAAGCAGATGAGCTGTAAAGATGCTTGTGTATGTAATGTAACACTTTATTATGCAATAGCCAGTTTAAGAAATTAGAGAAATTTTAGATGTTAGTAATATTAAATTTTACTTGGACAAAAATGGTCTCATTTTCAGTGGGATTCTTTTCGGAGAAGCTCCTGTCTTGTCTGTACTTGCATGTGCCCTGAGATAGAACATGAGTGTAGCTGTCTAGACCTGCGGTTCTTGTGGCTTTGATTCAGCAGAAGATGCACTGAGGAGCAGCATGTTGTAACAAGCCCCTGATTTCTCTTTCCTGGTACAGTCAAGGCTGTCTGTCAACAGCGTGACTGCTGGAGACTACTCCCGACCCCTCCACATCTCCACCTTCATCAATGAGCTGGATTCCGGTTTCCGCCTTCTCAACCTGAAAAATGACTCCCTGAGGAAGCGCTACGACGGATTGAAATATGACGTGAAGAAAGTAGAGGAGGTGGTCTATGATCTCTCCATCCGGGGCTTCAATAAGGAGACGGCAGCAGCTTGTGTTGAAAAATAGGAGGCTCTCCTTGCTCCTGGCCTTGCTGACCTCAGCGGTTGCCAGGAAGGGGTGAGCACAGAGTGCCTCTTACGGTAGTTAGGATGCCCAGTTGCTAAACACTGCGCTTTATTTTCTTAACCAGTTGTGGTGTGAGTATCAGAATTGAAACACTTTTTTGGGGGTAAAAAATAATAGCCTTTACATGGACAGAATTTTCTTTGTTGTTTCAGTGAATTGGCTCTGTAATTCAGTGTATTTCAGTTCCGTCAAAAAGTGTAAATGTTAGTTTCTTGGTAAAGTCTTTTTCTTGCTTACCTTGACTGTTGATGTACTGATTGAGAAGTTCATTGTCTCGTTTGTGATTCTTCCAGATGTGATGCTTGATATTTTCTATATGCGAGTTAGCCATCCACACCCAGGCATAGCCTGGATACAGTATTAAAATAGATAATTAAAAAGATGGTTGCCAAGCAAGGAAAACTTATTTTATATTTTCCCTTCCTTATTTTAAGCATTGTGAGTAAATCAGATGTTGAATTCTTTTGCCAAGGGAATTATAGCCCCAGGTTCTCTCTCACTGCCATCAGAATATACAAGATTAAACTGCAAAGTCAAGCTCAGCAGATTATTTTGGAAAGTTTTTGTATTAAGGGATTTAGTGACATCATTTGGTTCTCCACCATGCAGGGAGTAGGGCTTAGTGTTTTAAAACACCTCTGCTTTCTCATGTTGCCTTAATATTCTGCTGTTGCAGCAATTAAAAATGGTCTTCACGTGCATGTGGAACTAACACGTGATATGATATATTCCTAAACTATGAAACCTTTTTTCTAGTAGTCAGCTAGATCATTTGATCTGGGAGTATAAAACCACCCACATAAGTTAATAAGCAAAATCCTGACTATTATGTTGTTAGAGAAAAATGCTTTGCTTTGTCTGGAAGAAAGATAAAATAGTGAATTCTAAATAAATCAGGCTGGGCGTGGTGCCTCACACCTGTAATCCCAGCACACTGGGAGGCCGAGGCAGGGGGATTGCTTGAGCTCAGGAGTTCGAGACCAGCCTGGGCAACGAAGTGAGACTCCATCTCTATATAAAAACAAAAAACACGAAAGTATACACAAAATAAATCAGTGGGATTTGGTAATATGTTTTAGAGTAAGAAATTTCAGGTTGTTGGTGACTGTCAGGTTTTTTTTTTTTTTTCCTTTTTTAATTTTTATTTTTTTTTTGAGACGGAGTCTTGCTCTGTCGCCCGGGCTGGTTTTTTGTATTTTTTAGTGGAGACGGGGTTTCACCATGTTAGCCAGGATGGTCTCGATCTCCTGACTTCGTGATCCGCCCGTCTCGGCCTCCCAAAGTGCTGGGATTACAGGCTTGAGCCACCGCGCCCGGTCAGGTTTTAAATGTACAGTTTGGGGCAAGTCATGTAAATACTGTTGGTGGTCTTCAATTTTCAGGTAGTACTAAGAGTATGTGCCAGGAAACTCTTGCAATCGAATTGAGACGATTAAAATGGTGACTTAATCCATAGTTACTTTGCACTCACTGAAAGGAAAGTGCTTTCCAGAATAATACAAAGTATCTAAAAGTGTCACCTTTTCTGGCCTGATCAATCTGATCAACAATTTTGGCTTCCTGTTTGTATGAGGGGCTATTTGGCATACTCTTCACAGCTTTTATCAGTACAAGTTAAAGGCTGACTACATTTTTTCATCACGAGAAAAGCAGTTGAAATGAGGCATGAGTTACTGTGCATTGGGATTTTAGAACAATTTTCTTGACAGCTCTTTTGTGAAGTTAGGTTCTTAAAAGTGCCCATGGTGGTCACTTAAAATGTGCATTAATAGCACTGCCAGGATCAAGCATGAAAGACTTATAAATTAGATCATCACACATAAGGCAGTAAGTTTGATAATAGGTTTTTTTGGGTTTTTTTTTTAACCTCTTTAAGTATTGATTCTGCTTGAGAATATTGAAGTACTTGCCAGAAGTTGTGGATTTCAGTTTTAACACATGCAATTTAAGTGGAGAAGCACACTCTGGTCTTGGAATTCCATTTGAGGATTTAGAAGTGTCATGTTTATACTTACTCAGTTGTGTTTGTTGCTGGCTTGTTGTAAAGCAATAAAATTTTTTTGGTCTTTTTGTAAGTGAGTGTGCTGCTGTAAGAAATCTCCCATGTGCATAACAAATTCTGAATATTTTTTGAGGCTAAAGAAGACCGGGGTGACAAGCACATACTGCCGTGTAATGGTTACACTAACCAAAAGACACCAGCCGCTCAGAGTTCTATACTGTAAAGCGCAGATAACATTTGTGTGTTATACCTTGATTGGGGAATTAAAAGTCATTTAACTGAAGATGTTGAGAAACCTGGGCTCTGGTGTGAGTATACCAGAATTACTTTTTTCAATTGTAGAAAATCAAGCAGGTTAGAGAAAATAGAGACGAATTAGGAGACACTGTCTTATGGATTCATTTATAAGAAGATAACCAGCCATATACACGTGGGGATATTTGCCGTGTCTTAAACTTGAATAATAATAGGAGCAATGCTTAAGGGAGTTTAATAGAGAAGGAAAGCTTTGGCAGTGTTTTGAGACCTTAAGTGGCTAAAGAGATGAGACAAACATGCAGGTTGCTACTGGCATAGTTTCATAATTGTGTACTCAGAAATTAAAGTTTGCTTGTTTCTCAGTCTGGATTAAACTGTTTGTCCTCCTTTTCAGATAGAGCATCACAGTCAGGGCTGACACCAAAATAAGACTTTCCCTGAGCCTGAATTTGTTTTTTTTTTTTTTTAGTATCTACTGTAATAAGCATCAAACAAACCAGCAAAAATAAACAGTGTCCCTTCCCCTGGACAACAACAATAACAAACATTTAAAGGCGGTAAAATTTCCAGGACTGGTTGGTTGAATGAGTGGGCTGGGTGCGGGTAGTGGGACGAGACGAGATGGGAAGGGGAGGAATCTAGCATCGCTGCCGGGTTTCTGGCCCAGGTTTGGTGCCATTCACTGAGGTGAGGAGTGTAGGAAGATCGCGTGTCTGGAGCGGGCTGGGCAGCTGATGCATTTGCTTTCGGATGTGTTGGGTTTATGACACTGGAGCAGCCAGGTGGATACATCAAAGGTGGGTAAGATCTCCCTGGAGAGCGTTTACAATGAGAAGAGTCACAAGCTGCGGACGAATTCTTGGTTAATAGCATGGCTTAAGGTAGGCAGAGGAAATGGAGTCCACAAGGAAGTGGAGAAATGGTCAGAGAGGCAAACAGAATGGGAAGAGTGGCTTGTTTCAGAAGCCAGGGAATAAAGGATCTTAGGTTTTTGGGTGAGGGATTTAAAATAATCTACAGCCTGGGAGCTCCATGACTCATCTGTCAGGTTAGGTTAGGTTATCCTGTGGGAACACCACGAGAGCTCACAGGCAAAGAACAAGGTTTATTTCTCACTCGCTTCCCTCTCCATTGCAGCTTAGCTGGAGATCTGTTCCACGTTGTCCTTATGTAGGGTGACAGAGCAGCCACTAACTGGACCATTGCTAGTTTTAGTGGGAGAGGGAAGGAGCTGTGGAGTGTCTTGCACAAATACATGATCTGGTCACTCTGACAATTATTATTATTTTTTTTGGAGATAGTCTGGCTCTGTTACCAGGGTTGGAGTGCATTAGTGCAATCTGGGCTCAAGTGATCCTCCCACTTCAGCCTCCCTAGTATTAATAGCTGGGATTACAGGTGCATGCTACCATGCCTGGCTAATTTTTAAAATTTTTTATAGAGACAGGGTTTCACTATCTTGCCCAGGCTGGTCTCAAACTCCTGAGCTCAAGTGATCCTCCCACTTTGGCCTCCCAGTGTGTTGGGATTACAGGCGTGAACCACCACACCCACCCTCAATTCATTGTTTAGAGCTAGACATGTGACCCTGCTAAACCACAAGGGGGTCAGGAAGTGAAATCCTGTCTTGTAGGATGAGAGGATGGGTAGACAAATATTGAAGTTTTGGGGGATGTTTAGTTCAATTTGTTAAATATATAGTAGTAATATTTCCATATACACATAAACACCAGTTGGCTTGGGAGGGAGAGAAGATGCCCCAGGACCCCTCTCCTGTTTGACAGAGTTCTCTGGTGTGTGTGCATTTGCGTTGGATTTGTGTTACATTTTAAGCCAATATTCAGTGAGCTCTACATGTTCCATGTGCTGGGCTAAACATTTTGTTTAGTTACCTCATTTTGTCCTTGTAACAACTCTGTGAGGTAGCTACTACTATTTTCCTTATTTTAGACTTGGCTTAGAGAGGGCAGTTAACTGGCTGTGAATTCATAGCTATGAAATGAAAGAGCTGCTATTCAGAACCCAGTTATTCTGCCTCGACATTCTAACAGACCATTTCTTCCTGGATGCTCTTGCATGGCATCCCTTCATAGCCTGACAAGGCAAACATCAAATCCACAAATAGTTAAGAGCACAAAGCGTATGTTTAACTTTGGGCTAAGTGTGGTTTGTCTTAAAAATAAGCATGAAAATAAATAGACTTGGTCTTCACCCTCAAGATGTTTAGGTCTAGTTGCAGGGGAGGAGGTGGTGAGAAAAGATATTAAACAGGTAAGAGGTTAAATATTCAACTAATATTTGAGTGCCTACTATGATTTATTTTAACAGCGTTATTGAAATACATTCACACATAAAATTGACCCATATCAAGTATATGAATCAGTGATTTAATTTTACCATGTGGTGGAAGCATCACCATAAATCAGTTTTAGAACTTTTTAAAATCTCTCCAAAATATCCCTGCTCCTACTGCCAGCCCTAGGCGACACTAATTTTCATCTCTAAATTTGCCTTTTCTGGATATTCCATAGAAATGGACTCCTACAGTAAATGATCTTGTATCTTTTCACTTAGCATAATGTTGTTAAGGTTCATAACTTAGCCGGGCGCGGTGGCTCACGCCTGTAATCCCAGCACTTTGGGAGGCCGAGACGGGCGGATCACGAGGTCAGGAGATCGAGACCATCCTGGTTAACACGGTGAAACCCCGTCTCTACTAAAAAATACAAAAAACTAGCCGGCCGAGGTGGCGGACGCCTGTAGTCCCAGCTACTCGGGAGGTGGAGGCAGGAGAATGGCGTGAACCCGGGAGGCGGAGCTTGCAGTGAGCTGAGATCCGGCCACTGCACTCCAGCCTGGGTGACAGCGCGAGACTCCGTCTCAAAAAAAAAAAAAAAAAAAAAAAAAAAAAAAAAGGTTCATAACTTATGTTAGTTTGTTCCTTTTTATTGCTAAGTAGTATTCCATTGTTTGGATACTCCACTTTTTTTTTTTTTTTTTGAGATGGAGTCTTGCTCTGTCACCCAGGCCGGAGTGCAGTGGCACGATCTTGGCTCACTGCAACCTCCGCCTCCTGGGTTCAAGCGATTCTCCTGTGTCAACCTCCCGAATAGCTGGGATTACAGGTGTGTGCCACCACGCCCAGCTAATTTTTGTATTTTTAGTAGAGACAGGGTTTCGCCATCTTGGCCAGGCTGGTTTTGCCGTGTTGGCCAGGCGGGTTTTGCCATGTTGGCCAGGCGGGTTTTGCCATGTTGGCCAGGCTGGTCTTGAACTCCTGACCTCAGGTGGTCTGCCTGCCTTGGCCTCCCGAAGTGCTGGGATTACAGGTGTGAGTCCGGCCAGATATTCCACATTTTATCTATACATTCATCACATGGTGACACATTTAAGTTTCCATTTTTTTGGCTATTATGAATAATGCTGCTCTGAACATTAGCATGCAAGTCTGTGTGTGAACGTGAGTTTATTTCTTTTGGATAGGTACCTAGGAATCTGTGGTAAAAATGGTAAGTTTATGTTTTTTAAGAAACTGCCAATCTGCTTCCAAAGTGGCTGCACTATTTTAAATTCCCACCAGCAATATATCAGGGTTGCCTACTAGGAGTTTAAATTCAAGACAATAACAGACAAGATGTCATAGGCACAGTAGTTAATTTCTAAATAACTTGTGAATAATTGCTATAGTTTAGGAGCTGCTGCTTGAACTAGGTCATGAAGGAG